ATGGTTACAGTGTAAGCATTTTAACAACCCAAGTCTTGACCCACAGTTAATGTATTCTAAATGCAGCGGCTGTGTCTTCTCCAATGGTGAAAAACAGCATTGAACACTAATTTTATAGAATCAGTTATCTAAAGCTCCAGAGGTTGGGGACCAAGTAGTGCTAGAGGGAGGAAGAGAAAAAAGAAAAAAAAATTTACATTCTAATAGGAAGATAGCAGGGGATCCTAATGATGGTAACAGTATTTTATATATTTGGAAGGAGATAACAAGAAAAACTGGGTACAGAATTGGTAGTGAGAAATGGAGACGAGAAAAGATTCTATGGCTGATATAAATATTAGAGAAAAAGTTAAAGGGAGACAAAAGAGGAGACAGGAAAGAAAAGAAAAATGGAGGCTGAATAAAACAGGAGAAGGAATTCATATGGAATATGAGTAAAAGTAGGAGGAATATAAAGGACAGGGGAGAATTCCCCTATTCTCTATACTGTATGGGGAGAAAGAAGGCAGGAAGAAGAGAAGCACACATACACAGACCCACTCACTGAAGAAGAAAGGGTAAAGTAATGGAAGAAAGGTCTGAAGAAAGTGTACAGAACAAGGGAAACAGCAAAGAATAAAAAAAATTTAAAATAAAAATGAGAAAATAGTACAATCAAATAAAGAATAAAAATGTTTTCTATTGTTTTGGCCATGTGGCTCTTTTCCTCAGTTTAGGATTATTGGGAAGCATAATGTGGCAGTCTGGCCCGAGAATGGTACAAGGTGTAGAGATCTGTTTACAGTCAGAACACAGCACCAATGTGAGCTTCCGGTCGTCTGTAACTCAGGCTGAACCTGGACTCTGACCACAGGAGCTTGGTCTGTTCACCAGCCCCTGCCTCTCAGCGGGACTCCCGGTCTGCTTTGCAGATGCCGGCGGTCTCCCATGACTGACTGTCACTGACAGTAAAACGGCTAAGAACAGTGAGGCTCTGCTTTTGTATACTCACATTCTCTTCATTTAAATTTTTAGCACTGTTTGTTCTGCTCAGGTCATCAGACATAAGGTTTTAGTATGATTATATGTGCTGCGAAAGCGAGCACAGACATAGGGTTTAAAATTATCTGGATTTAAGCAAGGAAGGGTAGCGATCGTCCCAGGCTGGACGGAAGACAGGGAGGAAGTCAGCTTGGGAGTCAGCTAAAGCTGGCTTGCCCAGGCTCTCCTGGCCATTGCCCCACCCTGGCAAAAGCCTTGTGTGTTTCGTTTTAAAACAAATTTTTCTCTTCCATGTGGGGAAGAGCCACTTTGCCAGTTAAAATAATTTAAAAAGAAAAGGGGTTCCTCCCTCTTGTTCTCCAAAATCATTGGCATAGCTCTCAAGGCCAGTTAGTAAAAAAGAAAAATATGGTTGCAGTTGATATAAGCTGTTGTCTGGCTGCATGATTCTGTGCAGACCCTAAGCCTATTTATTGGTGCCACCCACACCCAGTGTGGACCCCTCATCCTAGCCTCACAGCTTTAACCCCAGAATCACACCAGAACACACACTGAGAAAAAAAAGCCATTTACAAAACTGGGGTAAGTTTAAACCAGGTTAATTTCCAAAAATAAGAGTAACAAACAGACGCAGAGATGACAAGGAACACCACAAGAAATAAAATTAAAAAAGCAAAAAGAAAGGGAAAAAAAAGTCTGTTGTGGCTGGAAGAAAAACAAACACCTCTCATTCCCCTCCCTCATTCCCCACAGCCAGAAAAGCAGCAGATAGTTTTCTGCAGGCCGTGAGAAGATCCTCTGATTTCCCCGCCAAGAGGACAGAGTGAGAGAAGGAGGACCAAAGAAAAGCCTTAAGCCTTTGTGATATTTTCGTGAAAAACCAAAAAATGCACTCATTAGGCCTTACATCTCCTCCTGGCTAGATGTGCCAGATGATGTTACCAGAATCTCCTGGCTTTTGGTTCTTCTGGCTGGCCACACCAAATAATGTTACCAGGTAACTCCTAAAAGTGGCTTGGCAAATAAACTTGACCAGGTTTTGAGTTGCTTGCCTCTCCTTCTGGAGTTGGTTTCTAGGTTCTTCTCATCTCGAACAAAGAATTGAATAAAATGAACAAAAAACAGTAGCAAAGTTTATTTGAAAAAGTAAAAGTGAAGAGTGAGGAAGGAACTGGCTTTGCAGAGTGAGCTTGAGCCGAGTAAAAGAAGAAAAAGGAAAATAAAAGTACACTCTGGAAGAAGCAGGGCAGGTTATCATGAGGAAAGCAAGCTCTTTTCATCCGTATTCCTTTATGCTGTCCAAATCCCAAGGGAAGCCTTGAGAACTTCTACGTATGGGTCTGAGAGGTGGTGCTGGGATCCCATGCCTCAGGCTGTTGTCGGTTCTAGGCCATCCTGTTAAAAACCTGCTCCAGTTTTCATGAGAAGTTCACAGGCAGGGCTCTGGAAACTGTTCTGTGCTGCATTCTGGGATCTTGTAATTCACAGGTCACACCCACTTCTCCAGCCAGTTTTGCTATGCTCTAATCCCTATCTCAAGATAGTGCTGTAACCTTGGTTTTTTACTGCAAGTCAGTCATTAGCATACTCCACCTTCTTCTAAATACCTCTTAAAGACGTCATTCCTTTTTTTGGTTGTTTTGTTTTTATTAGTACATATCTGCTGTATATAATGATTATATTTATTGTGAGGAGTTGGTAAATGTATATAACACATCTTAATTCTCCTTCCTTCCAGCTGCATTTCCCCTCACCCTTCCCTCTCTCCATCTCTTTTTTCTTTTTTTCATATTATATGTCTTTTTGTTCTTTCTTTATATTTTGGGTTCCTCATAAGGGAAAGCATGCAATATTTAAGCTTGTGTGTCTGATTTATTTCACTTAACAATATGGTCTCAAGGTACATACATTTTCTTAACAAATGACTCAGGTTTATCCATTCATCTCTTGATGGACGTATAAGCTGCTTCCAGCATTCATCTATAGGCATTGTAATTTGTGCTGCTATATATGTGCTGCCGAAGTGAGCACTAGTTGTGCCGCTGTAAACATGGTTGTGCATGTATCACTGTAATATGATATCTTTAACTCTTTCAGAAAGATACCTAGGAAGGGAATAGCTGGGTTAAATGGGATTTCTTATTTTAGGTTTTTGAGGAATCTCCATACTGATTTCCATAAGGTTACATTATTTTACATTCCCACCATCAGTGAAGAAGGGTCCTTTTTTCTCACCATGTTACTTTTTCTATATTCAAAAATTTTAACACAAGAACAGTATATGAAGAGAATTATAGCAAACAGGTAAGCACTTTGTGTGTGTGTGTGTGTGTGTGTGTGTGTGTGTGTGTGTGTGTTTTGAGACAGGATCTTGTTATGTAATCCAGGCTGGCCTTGAACCCACTGTGTAGTCCAGGTTGGCCTCAAGCTCACAATGATCCTCCTGCCTCAGCCTCTTGAATGCTGGGATTACAGGCATATACCACCATGCCTGGTTTGAACACTCTTTTATAGTAAACAATAAACCAAATAAAATAAGTTACAAAGCATTTGTAAAAATATTTAAATAAATATGCAGAACCAAGAAATTGGAAATTGTATTTGAAACTTATCAAATAGACAATTAGTTGCCTGTAGAAAGAAAATATCAATTTGTAAGAATTATAGTTCTGGGGCCAGGGATTTAGCTCAGTGGTTCCACTGTGTGCCTCGCAAGCTCAACATCCGGAGTTCCATTCCAGGTACCAAAAAAAAAAAAAAGAATTATAGTTCTGTCTTTCAGGACCAACAGGACCATAGGTCCCTTCCTCATTTGGGGACATAAGAGTCCCCAGCAGGGCTGAGGAGGGACTTCCTCATAGTCCCGCCAAGCAGTTGTGGAAAGTCAAGGCTGCCCTCAGACGAGGGTTCAGTGCAGAGTCTTCATGCCACATCACCTCTGGAAAAGTCACACATTTATTGCATTTTATGGATTAAGTCTTATTTGTAATCTGAACATTTTACAAAGGAACTACTCATTTTTGGCTTTCCGTGTAGCTTTGTAGAAAGAGTACAGGCTTTGAATCCAGATAGGCCCTGGGACTGAATCTCAAGGGCTTGGTTCATCTATTGTATCTTCTTGGGAAGAGATTTTAATTTCATGGGTCCTTTCTTCATGAGAAGTTATTCATTTATATTCAGTGAAGTTTTTTTGGAGACAGTCTCACTGTGGAGTTCAGGCTGGCCTTGAACCTGCAGTGATCCTTCTGTTTCAGCTTCCCAAGTGCTGGGATTACAGGTGTGCACCACCACGCCCAGTTTACTCTACGATTTAAAAGATACCAAGTATCTGGCATAAAGTAGATCCTTGACAAATAATTTTCTTTCTGTTTATTTAATTTAAAACTTGTTTAATAATTATTTGTATATCCCAAGTTTTTACTTAAAAACACACAAAATCAAACCAAGAAATAAAATTGTTTAGCCATATTGAAGGCTTCAACATTTATCTCCTATATCTCCTTGAAAATGTACAAAATCTACAATCCTTATATTGTGTAGGTCACTTTGGAAAATATAATCTCTTTGACTTATAAAAACTCACATTAAAATATCATGAGAATTGTAGCAAACTTGTAAAAATCTTATAGAATGTACTCTAGAATCTAGGTAATTGGTTTTCTGCAGGAAATAAAAGTCAGGAAAATCTTCCTGTCTTTGTGGTAATTAATTCCTGTGTTCTAGAAATGATTCCTATGTTTCTGCCTTAGAAACAAGGAAAAAATTGAAATAAAAAGGAAGAAAAAAATTTAAAAGCCATTGTCAAGCTTTGTCAAACTGCCATTAAGTAGGGCCAGGGATTTAGCTCAGTGGTTCCACCGCCTGCCTCGCAAGCACAAGGTCCTGAGTTGGATCCCCAGTACCAAAACAACAACAACAACAACAAAAAAAACTCCCATTAAGTCTGTTTTTGTGGCATTATATGGGTCCTCTCAAATATGTTCTGTGGTGCATATCACTGTGCTTTCCATCCTTGCCAGTGTGCTCTCGCTGCTGATGAAGTAATATTTAATCAGAAGGAACTAGAAGTGAAGGAACTGAAGAATCAAGTACAGATGATGGTACAAGAAAACGAAGAACATGTTGTATCTTTGGAAGAAGCACAAAAAGTGAATAGATTACAGGTAGAATTTCTTAATTTATCTAGCTCTATAAATGTAGCTCCTAACTAAACAGTAGCATTTTAAATGATTAATGGGTACATTTACAAAAGTATATTTCAGTTGATAAGTTGTAAACATGGACACCAGACAAAATTATAGTAAATTATACATTTCACAAAAGAAGATAATACACAGGAACTTAACTCACTAATCAAATTGTAGTTATCTTGTATCCATGCTCCTCCTTCAGTTGTTTGCTGAAGTGGTAGGGAGTGTGGTGCGAAGAGTTGGTATGGAGAACTGGGACTGTAGCTTAGTGGGAGAACACTTGCCTGGCATACATGAGGCATGGGTTAGATAGATCCCCAGCGCTCAAAAAACAAACAAAAAAACACAAAAAACCCCCCATGGAATATGAAACATGTAATTTTTTTTGGAAACATGTAATGTTTTAATGTATTAGATTATCTTCTTATATCTCATGAGTGATTTGCTCTTTAACTTAGTTAAAATTTCCAAACTCTGTTTCTTTGCATTCCTATTCTTAGCAGAGATTGCCTGAAGTATAATATTTAATATACCCCTAAATATTATACTCCTTGGTGGTGATTCCCCCAGTCCCCAAAGAGTTACTGTCATTTAAAGTCTTTAGCTTCCTATCAGGGACAGTGCCATGAGAAATACTGCAGTATGATCCAGCAGGAATTAGATTTGGTTTTGATTTTACTTCGTTTTGGTTTTTCTTAACCCTTCTAATTGTGTGTTTCTTTTATTTTTAAATTTTTAATTGATAATTGTACATATTTATGGGGTACCGTGTGTTAATTCAGTACATGTATTGAATGTGCATTTATCAAATCAGGATAATCAACATTTTCATCTCTTTATAAATTTATCATTTGTTGATATTCAGAGCCTTTGAAATCCTTTTTTTTTAGTTCTTCATAAAATATATTCCAGACTTTTATAAACTTTAGTTATGCTCCATGCTGTAGAACACTAGAGCTATTTTCTAGTGTACAGATAGTAATTTTCCTTACTTACGGATACATTATGGCATTTCAGTACATGTACCAATGTGTAAATGATCAGATGAGGGAAGCTGGGATATCTGTGACCTCAGACATACATCATTTCTTTGTGTTGAGTATGTTCAAAATCCTTTATATTAGCTATTTTGAAATCTTCAGTTAATTATTTTTATTATTATTTTTATTAGTACATATTTGTCATACATAGCGATCACATTCATCGTAGGGAATTTGTAACTGTACATAATATATCTTAATTCTCTTTTTCCCATTCCCCTCTTCTCCCTTCAACCCATCCCCCTTCCCCATTTATAAAAGCTTTGTTTCCATTTTTTTCTTCCATTCTTTTTTACTCCTTTTTCTTTTCCTTCCCTTTCCCCTCCACCCTCCCTTGTTCCCCTTCCTGTTTGAATAAGTCCTTCCTACTTCCCAATATCTAGCCTCCATTTTGATCCTTATTTACACTTTGGGTTTCTCACACAAGAGAAATAATATTATATTTAAACTTGTGTTTATCCTTATTTATGGCGGAGTAGTGCTTTATTGTGTATTATTAACACATTTGCTTTATCCATTCATTTTTGATGGGAATATGGTCTCTTTCCAAGATTTAATTATAAATTGTGCTGCTATAAACATAGGTATGCTTATAACACTGTGATGTGATGCTTTTAAACTCTTCTGGGAGGATGCCAGGAAGGATGGCAGATGAGTCAAATAAAACCTCTAGTTTTAGTTTTGAGGAATCTACATACTGAGTTCTATAGTGGTTGTACCATTTTACATTCCCACCAACATTAGGAGATTGTTCTTTTTCCCCACAGCCTTGCCCGCATTTGTTATTGGTTGATTTCTTGATGATAGCTGTTCTTTCTGGAGTGAGATGGAATCTCAGTGTTGTTTTAATTTGCATTTCTAGATTGACTAGTGATGTTGAGCATTTTTTAAATATATTTATTTGCTATTTGTACTTCTTCATCTGAGAAGTTTCTATTCATTTCAGATGCCTATTTTTAGACTGGGTCTTTAAATTTGGGAGGTCTGATTTTTTTAGTTCTTTGTATATTTTAGATGTTAGTCTTTTGTCTGAGGAGCTAGTTAAAGTTTTTTGTCTCACTCCTTGGTTTGTCTCTTCACTCTGTTCATGGTTTCTTTTGCTGTGCAAAAGCTTTTTTAATTTGATGTGGAGTCATTGATTTTTTGGTAATATTTCCTGTTCAGTTGGGGTTTTGTTCATAAAGTCTTTGCCTACACCTGTGTCTTCAAGAGTTTTACCTATTCTGTCTTCTAGCAGATTGTTTCTGTTTTAATATTTAGATCTGAGATCCATTTCAATTTTAGTTTACTGCATGGTGAGAGATATTGGTCCAGGTTTAATATTTGGCATGTGAAAAGCCAATTTTCCTAGTAACATTTTTTAAAGAGGCCGTCTTTCTTCCAGTGAAGATATTTGGCCCCTTTATCAAAGTTAATGTAGCTGAGTGTGCTTGGCGTTGTTTCTGCATCTTCTAATCTGTTCCACTGGTCCTCAGGTCTGTTTCTTTGCCAGCACCATGCTGTTTTTATCATGGTAGCTTTGTAGTATAACTTCAAATAGAGGATTGTGATACCCCGTGCCTTGGCTTTTGCTATTCTAAGTCTCTTCTGTTTCCATATGAATTTTAGAATTGTTTTCTCTAGTTCTCTGAGGTATTGGTATTTTGAATGGGATTGTATTAAAGTTTGGAAGTATGGCCATTTTCACTGTATCATGACTTTAGAGTGCTGGTTTTGTGTTCATGAATTTATTCAGGTGTTCTTTTCATGGAAGTATCTTATTTCTCTATCAGTTTTGAAAGTTACATTAATCTGAGTTGGAGGTTGTTTTCTTTTAGGGCTGAAATACTTTACTCAGTACTCTCCTTTACTTGAGTATTTGTGTTGAGAAGTCTGCTGTGATTCTGATGGGCTTTCTTTTACAGGTGATTTGTTTCTTTTCTCTAAAAGCTTTTAATATTCTGTTCTTGTCTTGAATTTCTGGAATCTTGACCATCATGTGTTTTGCTGTAGACTTTTTTTGATCTTGGGTAATTACAGTTATATATGCCTCACTTATTTATATGTCAAATTCTTTTTTCATGGTTGGAAATTTTCTGCCGTTACTTCTGTGCATAAATTTTTTATGTTGTTTGTACTGTTTCCTGCTTTTTCATTAACTCCAATCAATCTTATGTTCTTCTTCTTTGCATCATCTAGCTCCTGCTGCATTGATTTTTTGTGGCCCCTTGTATTTTTAAGACATCTTTGCTTTCATGGTTGCTAACTGCAATCCTGTCTTCTATATCTGCTTTTCTGTCCTCACATTGGCTCATTCTGCTGCTGTATACTCTCAATGGAGTTTTTAATCTCCTGAATATTTGTTTGAATCTGTTTCATGGGTTCCACTTCTTTCCTATGTTAGGCCTATAGTATTGTTTATCACCCTTAGACAATCTCAGTCTTGGCACACCTGGAAGAACGACTGATAAGAACAACTGTGTCACCTCGGCTAAAGTAGTACAATCAGCCATAACAATAGCATCAAATACAGCCTAGAAAATGACAAACTGTGTAACTATTAATTTACCTCCTTTAACTGTATGAACTAGATGTGTGGTTATATAATAAAATCTAAAACAAACCAGAAAATTGTATACAGTGAATATGCCTTCAGTATGGTGATTTTACTCTCAGGGGAGAAAATTTAAAAGAGATTAGGGAAAAAATAGAGAAATTGAGGAGAGGACGAGATTAGAAGCAAGGCTGGAGAACAAAGGAAGATTATACAAACTTTGGGAAACTGGTAAAGAAAATGGAGGAAGAGAGAAGGAAGAAATAAAAACAAGAACAGAAGAGAACAACAACAATAAAAAACAAAACAAAAAGAAAAAAGAAGAAAATAAGAGGAAAAAAAGTTCACTTCAAAGTGTGTCTTAGCTGTCACTGGTGGACAGAGCCCAGATCCATGTTGGTTAATCCCAATCAGCCAGCCATAGATTTATGTTGAGGTAGTGGATAATCCCAGCAAGCTGTAGCTTTAATTCTGAATCTCAGGCTGGTTTCTGGCTTTAAGGCTAGAACCCATTTTGTTCACCCTGCAACACCCTGTGTTCCTCCTACTGGCTTGAATTTGGCTCCTTGACCTCCTACTGATGTGAACTCAGTTCTGCCTCACCCTGATGGAGCCAGCCCACAGCTTCTCTGAGTTCCAAGCTCAGTTGGCCCTTCTCCAAGATGGCTGTTGGCCAATTGCCCTCTCCTGGAGGAGTGTTTTAACCCAAATAATTCACTAGCTGCTGTAGTCTACTGTGTGGACTGCCCCATTCCACTGGCGCATTTCTCTGTGGAGGTCTCTGTGGTTGCCAGGGGTCACTGTGGGTCTGCAGGTTTGAGTCAAACTTCCCATGCAGTGAGTCAGGGCTCAGGGAGAAAGTGCCGCTTGCCACCTCATTCTTCTTCATTGAAGCCTCTCTCTTCACTCTCCCCATGGGTTTCAATTCTTGTTTCAGATCCTTCCTGGGTCCCAGGGACCCACTTCCCTCCCTCTTCTCTTCTCTTCCCGACATTGGCTATATTCCAGTGCTTGAACACCAAATATTGGAGAGGCTGTTTCCCTGCTGTTTACCATTCTGCCATCTTCCTGGAAGTCCCTTTGAATAAAATCTCGTTGTCTATAATTAAGGATAATTTGATCTTGTCCTTTCCTAATTAGGATGCCCTTTATATCTTTCTTTTCTTTTATTGCAGTGACTGAAATTTTTTATATGATACTAAATAAGAGTGGTGAAAGTGGGCATCCTTGTCTTACTCCTGATCTTAGAGGGGACTTTTAGTTTTTCCCTGCTGAGTATGATATAGGCCATGGGCTTTTTTCAGTATAAAATACAGTTACATTCATCATTGGGACCTTGTACCATTACATGAGTATCTTGGTTCTTATTTTTTTCCCCTTCCCTTGCCCTCTCTTCACCC